TTGTATTTTTCCTTTTAATTGACAATTTTTAGAAAAGATTAACCTACTGGTAATCCCATGGGTCCAGCATCACCTTTTTCTCCTCTTTCTCCCTAGAAAAAAAATCAAATTTATATAAAAAACTTTTATTACATTATGCTGATTAATTTATTTTGACATTGCAATTTTATATTATATTAATAAATAAGGATAACATCCAATTACAAATAACCATGCAAACAAAAATTTATACTTAAAGTACTGCCATCTGATGAGAAAATTAATAACAACATATTTATTTAACTAGAATCCAAAACTTAGAATATGCATTAAAATTTCTTTTGAAATAAATATTTTTCAGGAAAATAATGTAAATTAATACAGTATAATGTAATAACTATTACTTTTAATATCTTTTTAAATTAATAAAATTATAACAAAAATGTTTGTTTGCATCAGTTTCAGTTTGAATTATGTTCAACTTGTTCAATCTTACTGGTTCTCCTTTCTGACCATCCATTCCTCTATCACCTTTAATACCAGGTGGACCCTGAAGTCCTCGAAATCCCTACAAAAAATTTATCTTAATTTATTTTTATAAACATTTAAAAACTAAATGATAGTTTTTAACTAAATATCAATACTTACTGGTGGACCAGGTGGTCCAGGTGGACCAATTACCTGAAAATAATTTATTCAAATTTATAATACATACATAAAACTTTAAGGAAAAATAAATTTTAACAAGCATTTCATAAAATGTAATTCTAGATTAAAAAAATGAAGACAGAGTATGTTAAAATGTTGCAAGACAGAGTACATTACTTTATAACATTACACTAAATAATTCTAGATAACGAATGAAACACTAAATAATAATTTTTGTATTTTTTAAGAATTTATAAGCAGTCATCCATTAATTACATGTAAAGTTAAATGAGGATAAGTTGTGAAAAATACATCATTATACACAATGAAAGGAAAGGATCAAGGCACCATCTACATACTTTTTTAATGGTATTATGTGGCATACAGATTTATTTTTATAAGTCATGTGGCTAAACTATCAGAAAATATTTGCAGAACTTTTATAAATCATTTTTTTAATGTTAGAGGGTCCACAAACTGTTGCACATCATTAAAGAGGAGGGGGATTGTCTAAAGTACATCCTTGTACACAAGAGGGAGAGACACAAAGTAAAGTGCTCAAATACTGTACTGTACTGTACATGTATGGATGATTCCTAATTTTAATTCNTACTCAATTTAAGAATATCCATATTAACTTTGTAAAATAAGTTTATTCTTTACTTTCATTTTATTTATACAAAATGTTCCAAAAAATGTTATAACATAAATAATAGATTCAAAAATAATTATGAGAGATTATTATTGTTATTTTTGATTTAACCATTTCCAATTAACTGAAGGTCAATTGAAAATGGTTCATTAATTAAAAATTATTAATCCAATGAATTGTGCATATGACAGCTCAAGATGTTGCAAATTTGCACACTAAGTAGATCTTTCTGTGGAAATAGTGTGTTTATTAATACTAACACACCAGATTTATTTATCATTATTATCATTATTGACCGTTTTAATTCAACTAAAACACATGGATGGCAATTACCTTTTCCTGGTAGATTTTCAGTTTGAACTGTTTGTTTTAACAGTTGTGTTTGAATTGTGAAGGTCAGTTAACCTGACAATGCCTCTTAAACATGGTTAGAAATGTTTGCTTTATTGTAATTTCTTCTTGCTGGATATTGGTTTATTTGTGCAGTGTTTATTCATTTTATTAGAAAAAAACGAGAGTAGTTGATAAAAGGTCAAGAAATCCTTTAAGGAGTGAAAAAAGCTTGGGGACCCCTGCTCTAGTACTAAAAATTCTGGAATAGGAATTGTTGCAATTCTCACAATTAGTGCTGTGCTGATATGTTTACAATATCTATATTTGTAAACATATTTGTTTCAATTTGATATAGTAGTTATCAGTATAGCACTACTAAAGACCCACATCATTTAACATTTCAACCTACCCATTTCATAATAATTTGTTTTCCCCACTGAATTTTACATACGCTGTCAAATTGCACACATGGAAATATTCAAATAACCAATAAATCAGACTTGTAAGCCAGAAAAAATTTGAAAATTCACCAACAGATAAAATTTTTCTTTAGATTTATATTTACGTTATCTTTCACTAATAACATACAAAATACCTATTTGGACATAAATAGAAATTTCTTCATATGATGCAACAAAAATAAAATGGCACAACTTACAGCAAAAAACACGAAAATGTTCAAACTGTGCAAAAAAAATAAATGAAAACTTAAATATATTTCTATTGTCTATACTTAAACTTAAATCTATTAGGACCCAAAGGTTTAGATAGCTGAATTAGAAAAAAAATGTCAAGAAAGTTAAAATAAATTGAGGAAAGAGAGGTTGGTAGTACTTCTACTTTCTTTTTCTAAAAAGGATCATATTCCAAGCTTTTCTTACTTAGTCCATGCTATATCTAGTCTCTCATCCATTGGCTTCACTGGTGGGTGATCAGAGTAAAAAAAAATCAAATTTTTTTCTTTTAGGCAAAACTAATACTCTCATATGAAACTTGGGGATCTATCAACCAAAGTAATATTTTTTTTGACAAAAAATTCATTGGGTTTGTTCACGATGGGGATGAATTCTTAGTCTTCCTTCATCAGCCTTCCCATGTTCCTATCTTGCCTTCTTTCTATGTCATGAGCACACCAAATATGACCCGTTCCTCTAAGATAATGTCCCATGATCCCTTTCCTTTTGGAAGTACAACCTGAGGCCAACCAATACTAGAAAAGCTAGATGTACAAAAGTCTGGAAGTAACCACACATTTTGGGAGGCAAGAGTCCAGAGAGAAGAAAAGAAAGAAAAAGAAAATAGCTTAATCAAACCACAGACTAATGGTTCTACTGCAATGCTTCCATCTCCCTGTTCTAAAGCATGGATTTGATGAACAAGGCACTCAACAAAAGAACATAATTGACTTGGATGCAGTTGTCTCAGACAGCAAAATTTGTTAGGAACATTACCCTAATAAAGAAGATACTTCAAATATCTGTATAGCTGGCTAGATGACTGAGGTGATTAAAGTGCTAGCTTACTGCTCTGAAGGAATGGGATTAAATCTAAACAGGTTGAAAAACCCAGGAACTTCTCAGGGAATGAAACCAGATATATAAGGTGCTATCCATCACCATCTGGTTATCCCATTGTGGACTTGGCTGTACTCACAATGGACCTGGAAAAAAAGACCCTCTTAGTGCCCACAGAGCAGAAAGAGTAAAAAAATTAACTCCATAACCAAAAATCACAAGGAGTCAGTCTAGTAACTGTAGTACTATTGAATTGATCAACTAGCTAACCACTCATTCATGAAATGCTTATGCAATAACCTTTGCACTTTGATTCCAATATAATGAGGTGATTGTGGTATCCAAACAATTTTATTGCTGAAGTGCAGGAATGACAGTTTTGAGCATGTCTCTATACATATGTCTCCAGTGGCATTGACAGAATATATCATTGGTCCAGATGCAATGTTTTTTCAAAAAAATATGGCCCAATGATGAAAGATGCATTGAACCTACACAACACTGTGATTTTTTTGGTTTATCAACAAATTCCTTTGCTTTAACATATGGGTTTTCTCTAGACTGGTCACAGTAATTGTGAGTGTTCGCCATATCATTCAAGTAAAAATGGACTTCATTAATCCATAAAATTTGCCAAAAATTGTCATCATCATCTAAGCTATGAATGACATGGCATATGATTTCTGTCGAGCATATTCACCAGAAAGCAATTCATGACAGATATCCTATAGTGCTAAAATGTAATATTCACTGCAAAATTTTCTGCACTGTATGGGCAGAACATGTCAAATTGCTATAATATCACACACACAATACAGCTGCCTTGAGAATTTTCCATTTGCTGTTCCACTATGTGGTTGCAACTTCAACCATTTTCACCAGTTTACAACCCTTTCCTGGTTTCAATTGAAAGTTTACATTGAAACTAGGAAATTACAAAAGCTGATTTGTGTATGTATTCTATTCATTCCCATTAAAGAAAGCTCCCTTGAATAATTTTTTCTGAGATTAATAACAGTCAGAGGACCTTTTTGCTAGAACTTTAAATGTTAGAATTCCTTGTGTGCAGAATTGATATTGCTGTTTCTTTGATAGTAAAGTTTAATGAGTAATGTGTGATCACGTAATGTAAGTACTATGATTTGTAACTAATCCACATCAAAAAAGTTTTGCAATACCTTTATTCGCAATTTGCAAATTACATAAAATTGTTACACAACTTATGTAATTTGCAAATTGCAGCAACATTAGCACTAAATTTTTCCTTATTTGAAAATTTTGAAAATAAACTTTTTATTTTTTATTTGCAAAATCAAAATTCTATGGTCAGGAAAGTAAGCATCCCAAATTTTGTTGCATTTGGTCCATTAGTTCTTTTTACAAAAAGCTTTAAACACCATCTGTTTAATTACAACCACCCTGTATATTACTACAATTTGTTCAGCATTTAGTACAAAACTGATGTACTGTACAGTAGTCCACTTATGCAGATTAATGTGCATCAGTTATATTAGATTTTATGTGGAGGAAAAGATAGCTTTATATTTATTAAGCATGGAAAATAATATACAGAATTTATACTGTATAATATACCAATTTATTTCAGAACAGAATACAAAATATATACAGTATAACATTTTTGATGAAACAAAAATGTTATATATAATATATAGAAATGTTGCAATCTTCAAATTCTGTCCATTGCAGTGGCATGCAGTGACATTTGATGACAGAGAAGCTGTTGGCCCTAGATAGAATCATTGGAAGCATTATATGATATTTTGGTGTGCAGCATCCATGAGCTAAATCGCATGAGGTTGGTGCTCTATAAAGTGCATGCACAAATGCACTTTATATGCAAANATCTCTTAGACATTACTAGTTTTTTTTTTCTTTAAATAAATAAATAAATAAATTTTACATTTTTATTGTTAAAGAACCTTCATTTAAATCTGTGGCTCTTAAATAATAATGAACAATTTAAACATCTTATGTGCAAACTAAAATCTTGAATGAGATTAAAAAAACCACACTCTGTGCATGAAGAAATACAAAGAAAAGTGCTGGTACCAAATAAACTGAAACAAATAAGAAAGTTATTTTAACTCACAGGTGGACCAAGATCACCCTTGTCTCCCTTAGAACCCTATAAATAAATTATTAATTTATATTACAGGTAAAATACTCATGTATATAATTTCAATAAGAAGAAGGTGACATTAATTACCTGTAAGCCTGGAATACCATCAGTTCCCTAATAGAAAAATTAATCATTTTAAATATTTTTAATTTCATATGTTAAGGGTATAATTTTTAACATAAATCTGTTGTTAACACTTTCATCTTTAACTAACTTTAACATTGCATAAACTGTAAAGATTAAAATAGATCTTTTAGTTATTTTCTTAAAATTTGACTACTATATTAGTTTTTAGTGCAATTTGAATGAAATTTTTAATGCTCAACACAGCATCCATAGTTCTTAATTGTTTTGACCAAATTACAGCATTTTATTATAACATACTTTCAATTTAAATAAATATTATTGAAGTAAAAACAATTTTTATAAATGTGAACTATAGGATAAAGATATCAATATAATATAAAATTTAACCTTATTTCTTATTAAGAAACAATGATTTATACATACTTGTGTGTAGCATATGCTAAAATATTTCACAATAAAACAGAGACAGATAGGCATAAAGAATATGTGGGAGATATTCTTCTACATTTTGGAAAAAATATATCTATATTAAGAATAATTATTGCTCTATCAATTATAAGTAAATAGATAATACTGGTTTCATACTATTAATTAAGCATATTAACTGTCAATATAAAAATTCAATTTAAAATAAGCAAGGAAAATTGAAATACATATATGTTCTTGTAACAAGAAACTATTGACATACAACAAAATGTATCAGGTAGGCATATATTGCTAGTCATGAAAGTGCTAACATTATCTCATCAATATGCATTTATACCAGTAATATCTGAACTTTATAACACTTACTGGTAATCCTGGTTCCCCTTTCTCCCCTTTACTACCAGGCTCTCCTCTTTCTCCCTTTAAAAATGAATAATATATTTTGATAACATCTTTTATTATTTTTAATTGCATACAAGACATTTATTTTAAAAACATAAACCTTACAATTTATAAGTGAACAAGCAAATCATAATTCCCTACAGAATTTGAAGATTTAATTCGAAAATTAGTAAATTAATTATTGTAAAGGTTAATATACTACAAATCATTGCTCTTTTTGTAAAAAATCATTGCTGGTACACATATGATCACTAAAATAAAGTTCTGTTTTAAGAAAAATGTAATAATAATTACAAAACAGTGTTTAATATTACTAATTATTTACTTTTTATTTGTAAATACACACATTTATAATGTAGCATTTATAGTAGTTTTCAAGTTTTTTGTATATCTCAGTCTGTACATTCTTTTCTATTTCTTGTTTTGGATTTAGTGTCAGTTGCTAAATGGCATCCTTTTATCAACCATGTTTTTACCTTTTCCTTTCAAAACATCATTAGTACTTTTCTGTATCTCATTTCTTGATAAAAATATAGTGTAGACAGACAATTACCAGACAGCATTGTCCATTCATTGAAAGATCACCTTCAATGAATGGGGGTTTTTCCATCCCATTTGCTTTTTAAATTAGCTCCAATTGGCATAGGACATTCATTGTGTCCAACAGAGTGGTTCAGTTTGTTTCATTTGTTTTCATCATGCCAGTCATCAGGTGTATTGCATAAACACAGTTTTTCTTACTGAGCTACTGCTGATACTGTATACCAGCCACAGATACTTTTTTGCTACTTGCTGATATAGCACATTAGCATGTTTCAGCTGAAGTAGCCCTGCTACTAATAAATAATAGAATTTCTTAAGTTTGTGAATAAACATATCTATCATTAGGAATTTACAAACAAAATGCAACCAATGCAACATTTCTAATGAATAATCTCATCATAACTAAACACATTTTTCAGAATTTAATTTTTATATGAAAAATTGAATTCTAAAAAATATAAAAAATTGATTTAATCCAGTTGTCACTTACAGTATATATTTCTCCAGGTAATTATAATTTTAAACTTGTATTATGTAAATAAAAATTACACTAAATCAAACTGTTGTAATTCATAGTGTGCTCTATAATTCTAATTTATCAGATCTATAAAAGACAGGATTGATAAGAGGCAAATAAGCCCAAAATGCATATCAGTTCTTTTAGTTAACAAAGTCTGTCTGATCAATCATCTCTAAGAGTTCCTGTGTGATAAGTTCTCCAAATTAATTTCATGCTTACTTTTGACAATCTTAAAGAGAACAAGAAGTAATCAAATATCTAACAAATATGTTTTATTTTATATGACTTATTAATAATCATAAACCTTTGTCCAATATTGAATTAACTAAAGATTTAATTACTAGATTATTTATGGTTACAGCCATAGGCGTAGCCAGAGTTTTGTTATGGGGGCCTAGTAGAGACGAACCTGACACAAAATTGAATTATTTCAAATTATTGTTCATCAAAATGAAATTTCCATAAGAATTGACAATAACTTAACACACATAAAATATGAAACTTCCTTTAATCACACATTCTTGTAACATTAATATCAAACTCTAGCAAATCCTTAAAAAAAAATTAACCAATCAATTATTTTTTTTACCATTCTTTAATATAGTTCACCGTCTTTAATCTAGATATAACCAGAGGTGGCCAACGGTTTTTTCCTCCAGGCCAAATTGGAAATAAAACTTTTTCCACTGCCTGAACCAGAGGTGGCCCTAGCAAGATTTTCAGGTGATGCGAGAATCTATTGTGGTGTCACTCCATAGAGACTAAACTGTACATAGAGATTACAGGTACACTTTTCACATTAGGCACAAAAAACTGTTGACCTTTTTTTTTTTTTTTTTCGGATCAGAATTTCTCAACTTTCCTATAACTTCATATTGTCAGGTTGTGGAGAATTATCGCAAATCCATTCAACCAATTATTTGAAGTCCAGTCCAATTTTCAGAGATTAATTGCAGGCCGTGGTACACTACACCCAATTAAATTAGCTTCAACTTTTTATTTCTTTTTGCAAATCGGCTCAACACTTTTTCGGCTGTGATTTTCTGAGGAGGGCACCAGGTTAACTGGGGGGGCATGCCCACCCATGCCCCTTCCTGGCTATGCCCATGGTTACAGCCCATAAACACTCTAGTAATTTGTCTTTGATTAATTTAAAATAAACTGCAATTGTTTATAATGCAAATCTTATAACTAATCTTTAATCTGCTATTAGTTAAATAGCTTTTTATTTGATTTTGTTCTTTTTATTTCATATTTTGAATTACATAATAGTGATGAGACAACAAGAAATAATAATAATAAGTATAAAATAAATAATCACTAATAAGCTTATTTGATAAGCACACACTGATTTTTTTTTAATGGTTAATATACCTTTATTTGCTTGTTCATTTGTATATAAGGTTGAAATGCTTTAAAAAAATATCCTGTACATTAAGACTTTCTTTAATATTTTTATTTTTCATTACTACCTTCAGATTTTATTGAATTGCACTTTTTTTTGCAAAAATCATAAAAAATCCATGCAATTAAAGCATCTGGAAAAAAATTGCAAAATAATGGAATAAATTAGCAGTTGGCTCTCACCTTCATACCATCCAATCCTGGGGGACCCTACATTTAAAATAACAAAAATAAAACAGCTTGCTGTACTAGAATTTTCAAAATATTATCTTTAAAACTAATATAGCAGAAGCTTAATTGCAGTTAGTTAGTGAAAGCAAGAAAACTATGTGAAATGTGACAGATAGAAAAGTAAAATGTTAGATAATGGATAAAGAAAAGTTTTGGGTGTGTGTATGGATTTTTGTTGTGGCATTTCATTCCAATAACCAGCACCAATCATGCTATTCTTGAAAGGGTGATTTCTGTGACAAGATATAAAATAATATATATAAAAATAAAATTTTGTGAAAAAATTTTTCATTTCATTCTGTAAAATAAATATAAATTTTAAATAAATACAAACATGCTTATATAATTCATGCACTTTATTAACAAACATGCTTCATAAGAAATTAAAGTTAGGCAATAACACCTTCACAAGATATGTTGTCATTTTTGTTTTGTTTTTTTTTTTTTAGATATAAATTAAGTTAAATGCATAATATAATTTTATATTAATTCAAAAATTAAGCCAACTTATTTTAATCTAATTATTACAGAATAAGTATATATTAATTTTATAAATAGATTTTCATAAATTAAAAGATAATATATTTTTAAAATTGAATTACAATTTTTTATTTGAATCATTAGTTTACCATTAATCCTGGTTTCCCATCAATACCAGATTTTCCAACATCACCTTTCATTCCAACTGGACCCTAGAAACAATGCAATAAATTTAGATCTATTCACTTTATTACAAATGCAATATTTAATAAATACTGTATGTAAATTTTAAGATACATTTTGATTAAGCAGTCATTTTATATTTGTCATCTGGTAATCTCTTTGTCAAATTGTAATATTTGAATTATAAATTTGATTATGAAAGCTAAAATTTTTGCAGTGGATATAATAGAGAAACTTCATTATTCACAGACATTTTTAACTAATTAAAATATAGGAAAACTTTAATGTATTCTAAACAAAAGAACTTATAGATAAACTATTTAACTAAAATAATATATATATATATATTATATACGCATTTTTATTGAAAATATAAAGTATTAAATGGAATCATTCTTCATTTGTTTGAATTAATTTTTAAGAAATAATTTATCCATCACAACTTTGAATCTTCTTTTGAAATGTCTTCACAGTACAGACATATAAACTGCTTTATATCTATGAAGATTATCATAGTTTATAATTTATATATATGCTTTCAAGAGGAAAAAAAACATTACATTTGAATATTAAGTAAACATTACAAATATACATATGTATGTACAGTAGAGTGTCGTTTATCCAAAAGTCGGTTATCCGAAAGAATTCCAGTCGGCAAATTTAAATTTTCTCTAGTGCTGTGGCGCTGCAATCTTTGGCTATATCTCGGGCTACTCCAATATTTTTTTTTGTTGATGTGTGTGTTTTAGCTGGCAGCGTTGGCACTTTTGTGTGGTGTTTTTCTGAGGACTGTGTGTCATGCCGAATCGAACGCTTTTGATACTAGATTAACTTCTAAAGTATAATTTTTTTTTGTTTTTATATTTTTCAATATATTTATTTTGTTTGTAAAAAATAAAGATATAATTTTTAACGATACAATAGCTGCAATTATTATTTTAAAAAGTTTACATTAGGCTTAACGTCGACGAAAATTCAACGCGAAGCGACACACAATGGAGAAAAATTTCAACACGGGATTTTTCGTACATAATCGGTTATCCGAAAAATAAGTTATCCGAACAACCCCAGTCCCCAATTGATTCAGATAAACAACGCTCTACTGTATATATACATTACAAATATAAATATGTGTGTGTGTACTGTACATAGTTATCAATTAGCTAAATATTCTGACAAACTTGGAAATTGCTAAACCAGAAAGAGCTTAAAGATGTTAAAGATGTAATTTTTAAATACTTTTTACTTACTTATTTTGGCAGTAAATTAAATCTTTTTTAAAACCATACTTTTAAAACTAAAGAGAAACTATTAAAACTACTATATATTTTGTTTAAAATCAAAATACAATACATAAAACAATAGAACATGCTACAATGAAAGTACTAACATGTAGAAAATTCAACAGAAAGTTAAATTATGATACTTTTTTGCTAAATATGGATACTATGTTCATGAAGACCTGCAAATGCCAAAATGCTGGTTGTTAATTTTGAATTGTTAATTACTCAATTTAAGAATATCCATATTAACTTTGTAAAATAAGTTTATTCTTTACTTTCATTTTATTTATACAAAATGTTCCAAAAAATGTTATAACATAAATAATAGATTCAAAAATAATTATGAGAGATTATTATTGTTATTTTTGATTTAACCATTTCCAATTAACTGAAGGTCAATTGAAAATGGTTCATTAATTAAAAATTATTAATCCAATGAATTGTGCATATGACAGCTCAAGATGTTGCAAATTTGCACACTAAGTAGATCTTTCTGTGGAAATAGTGTGTTTATTAATACTAACACACCAGATTTATTTATCATTATTATCATTATTGACCGTTTTAATTCAACTAAAACACATGGATGGCAATTACCTTTTCCTGGTAGATTTTCAGTTTGAACTGTTTGTTTTAACAGTTGTGTTTGAATTGTGAAGGTCAGTTAACCTGACAATGCCTCTTAAACATGGTTAGAAATGTTTGCTTTATTGTAATTTCTTCTTGCTGGATATTGGTTTATTTGTGCAGTGTTTATTCATTTTATTAGAAAAAAACGAGAGTAGTTGATAAAAGGTCAAGAAATCCTTTAAGGAGTGAAAAAAGCTTGGGGACCCCTGCTCTAGTACTAAAAATTCTGGAGTAGGAATTGTTGCAATTCTTGCAATTAGTGCTGTGCTGATATGTTTACAATATCTATATTTGTAAACATATTTGTTTCAATTTGATATAGTAGTTATCAGTATAGCACTACTAATGACCCACATCATTTAACATTTCAACCTACCCATTTCATAATAATTTGTTTTCCCCACTGAATTTTACATACGCTGTCAAATTGCACACATGGAAATATTCAAATAACCAATAAATCAGACTTGTAAGCCAGAAAAAATTTGAAAATTCACCAACAGATAAAATTTTTCTTTAGATTTATATTTACGTTATCTTTCACTAATAACATACAAAATACCTATTTGGACATAAATAGAAATTTCTTCATATGATGCAACAAAAATAAAATGGCACAACTTACAGCAAAAAACATAAAACTGTTCAAACTGTGCAAAAAAAATAAATGAAAACTTAAATATATTTCTATTGTCTATACTTAAACTTAAATCTATTAGGACCCAAAGGTTTAGATAGCTGAATTAGAAAAAAAATGTCAAGAAAGTTAAGATAAATTGAGGAAAGAGTGGTTGGTAGTACTTCTACTTTCTTTTTCTAAAAAGGATCATATTCCAAGCTTTTCTTACTTAGTCCATGCTATATCTAGTCTCTCATCCATTGGCTTCACTGGTGGGTGATCAGAGTAAAAAAAAATCCAATTTTTTTCTTTTAGGCAAAACTAATACTCTCATATGAAACTTGGGGATCTATCAACCAAAGTAATATTTTTTTTGACAAAAAATTCATTGGGTTTGTTCACGATGGGGATGAATTCTTAGTCTTCCTTCATCAGCCTTCCCATGTTCCTATCTTTCCTTCTTTCTATGTCATGAGCATACCAAATATGACCCGTTCCTCTAAGATAATGTCCCATGATCCCTTTCCTTTTGGAAGTACAACCTGAGGCCAACCAATACTAGAAAAGCTAGATGTACAAAAGTCTGGAAGTAACCACCCATTTTGGGAGGCGAGAGTCCAGAGAGAAGAAAAGAAAGAAAAAGAAAATAGCTTAATCAAACCACAGACTAATGGTTCTACTGCAATGCTTCCATCTCCCTGTTCTAAAGCATGGATTTGATGAACAAGGCACTCAACAAAAGAACATAATTGACTTGGATGCAGTTGTCTCAGACAGCAAAATTTGTTAGGAACATTACCCTAATAAAGAAGATACTTCAAATATCTGTATAGCTGGCTAGATGACTGAGGTGATTAAAGTGCTAGCTTACTGCTCTGAAGGAATGGGATTAAATCTAAGCAGGTTGAAAAACCCAGGAACTTCTCAGGGAATGAAACCAGATATATAAGGTGCTATCCATCACCATCTGGTTATCCCATTGTGGACTTGGCTGTACTCACAATGGACCTGGAAAAAAAGACCCTCTTAGTGCCCACAGAGCAGAAAGAGTAAAAAAATTAACTCCATAACCAAAAATCACAAGGAGTCAGTCTAGTAACTGTAGTACTATTGAATTTATCAACTAGCTAACCACTCATTCATGAAATGCTTATGCAATAACCTTTGCACTTTGATTCCAATATAATGAGGTGATTGTGGTATCCAAACAATTTTATTGCTGAAGTGCAGGAATGACAGTTTTGAGCATGTCTCTATACATATGTCTCCAGTGGCATTGACAGAATATATCATTGGTCCAGATGCAATGTTTTTTCAAAAAAATATGGCCCAATGATGAAAGATGCATTGAACCTACACAACACTGTGATTTTTTTGGTTTATCAACAAATTCCTTTGCTTTAACATATGGGTTTTCTCTAGACTGGTCACAGTAATTGTGAGTGTTCGCCATATCATTCAAGTAAAAATGGACTTCATTAATCCATAAAATTTGCCAAAAATTGTCATCATCATCTAAGCTATGAATGACATGGCATATGATTTCTGTCGAGCATATTCACCAGAAAGCAATTCATGACAGATATCCTATAGTGCTAAAATGTAATATTCACTGCAAAATTTTCTGCACTGTATGGGCAGAACATGTCAAATTGCTATAATATCACACACACAATACAGCTGCCTTGAGAATTTTCCATTTGCTGTTCCACTATGTGGTTGCAACTTCAACCATTTTCACCAGTTTACAACCCTTTCCTGGTTTCAATTGAAAGTTTACATTGAAACTAGGAAATTACAAAAGCTGATTTGTGTATGTATTCTATTCATTCCCATTAAAGAAAGCTCCCTTGAATAATTTTTTCTGAGATTAATAACAGTCAGAGGACCTTTTTGCTAGAACTTTAAATGTTAGAATTCCTTGTGTGCAGAATTGATATTGCTGTTTCTTTGATAGTAAAGTTTAATGAGTAATGTGTGATCACGTAATGTAAGTACTATGATTTGTAACTAATCCACATCAAAAAAGTTTTGCAATACCTTTATTCGCAATTTGCAAATTACATAAAATTGTTACACAACTTATGTAATTTGCAAATTGCAGCAACATTAGCACTAAATTTTTCCTTATTTGAAAATTTTGAAAATAAACTTTTTATTTTTTATTTGCAAAATCAAAATTCTATGGTCAGGAAAGTAAGCATCCCATATTTTGTTGCATTTGGTCCATTAGTTCTTTTTACAAAAAGCTTTAAACACCATCTGTTTAATTACAACCACCCTGTATATTACTACAATTTGTTCAGCATTTAGTACAAAACTGATGTACTGTACAG